TCATGGCTCATAGTCACACCCCAAGCATATAGTTTCCTTTTTGTTGTGTGTGTGTTTTTTTAATCCTCACCCAAGGATATATTTTTCTATTTATCTTCAGATAGAGTGGGAGGGAAGAAGGGAGGGAGAGAGAGAGAAACATTGATGTGAGAGATACATCAACTGATTGCCTCCTTCACGACCCCACAAGTCTGGGACTGAACCTCAGAGTACATGCCCTTGACCGGAATCGAACCTGCGACTCAACTCTCTGGTCTGTGGGCCGACACACCAACCGCTGAACCAAACTAGCCAGGGCTCTATTGATTTTTATTTATTTATTTATTTATTTATTTATTTATTTTTTATTTATTTATTTGTTTGTTTATTTTGGTACGTGCCCCTAGCGGGAACTGAACCCAGGACTCTCTGGTCTGCAGGCTGACCTCCAACCACTGAGCCAAACCTGCCAGGGCTCTATTGATTTTTAGAGAGAATGAAAGGTTTGGAGGGAAGGAGAGCGAGAGAAACATCAATGTGAGAGAGACACAATGATTGGTTGCCTCCTGAATGACCCCAATCTGGGCCAGGGATCAAACTTGCAGCCCAAGTACATCCCCTTGACCAGAATCAAACCGAGACCCTTCAGTCTGGGCTGACGCTCTAACTGCTGAACTGAACGGGTCAGGGCCATATAGTTTCTTTACTAAAAGTTTATCTTTGCCTTAAGCCAGATTGTTTCTATGCATTTTACAGGGGTGGGGAATATCTGGCCATATAAGGACCTTGAAATCAGTACCAGCTAATATCACACACCTCACCAAATTAGCTTGACCAAATACAGCAGGGAGAGAGAGAAATATTGATGTGAGCGAAACACATCAATATGTCATCTCCTGCACACACCCCACCTGGGGCCAAGATCAACCTGCAGCCCAGGCAAGTGCTCTTGACTGGAAATCAAACCTGAGACACACCCCTGCAACCGGTGCACAGGCCAACACTCCAACCACGGAGCCATGCTAGATTAAGAAAAGTCTAGTTTTTTTTCAATATGTTTTTATCGATTTTTTAGAGAGAGAGGAAGGGGAGAGAGATAGAAACATAGATAAGCCCGGGCTGATTTGGCTCAGAACTTAGAGCATTGGCCCATGGACCAGAGAGTCCCGGGTTTGGTTCCCGCTAAGGGAACGTAACTTGGTTGCGGTTTGTCCCCGGCCCTGGTTGGGGTCATGTGGGTGGCAGCCACTCGATGTGTCTCTCTCATGTCAATGTTTCTCTCTCTCGTCCCCCCACTCCCTTCCACTATATCTGAGGATAAATGCAAAAATGTCCTAGGATAAGGATTTTTTAAAAAAGAAACATAGATAAGAGAGAAACATTGATTGGCTGCCTCCTGCATACCCCCTAGTAGGGATCGAGCCTGAAACCTGGGCATTCGTCCTGACCAGGAATTGAACTGGGACCTCTCAGTCCATGAGACAACATTCAGTGAGCCGCATCGGTCAGGCAAAAACTCGAGTTTTCCTACAATAAACTAGAGAAAGAAAATGTTACTAAGAAAGTCATAAGAGAAAATACACTTACAGTACTGTATTTATTGAAAAAATCTGCATATATGTAGAGCCATGCCATTCAAACCCGTGTCATTGTGTTGTTTCAAGGGTTATATATAATGTATATAATATATATATTCACACACAATTTATATTTTTGCCATATTTTCAGATATGGAAAATTCTTGGCAATTGTTGGATTTAGGTGGTGGGTATATGGGTATTCTTTATACTATTTTCCCTAGTGTTTTAAAAGTTTCATAATAAAATGCTTAAAAAGTAATTGTTTATATTTGCTCAGTCTCCTTTATGACAACTCAGCCCAGTGTGGAACAGTTACTTCCTACGTTCTGCTGGGAAAAGGAAGCTCCCTCCCCATCCAGGGTGTGCCTGTGCTGCCGCAGGCCCTTTGGACAGCTCCCCCTCTGTTTAATACCTGACATCAGCATTATGCTGGGGATAACTGGCTGACATTTCTATGTGCACTACATGCCTTAGAATTTAATGGTTTAATGACAGACAATAAATAGCCAGCTTAGAATGTGACCCACTTCCACCTGAGGCTCACCTGACTGGGGGCAATATAGTCGAACATTTTAAGAGTCAGCAGGTACTTTAACCCTTAGAATACTGTTCCTTGTTCTTTGGGAAATGACACAACAATCAAAACACAAAATCATGAAGTAGGATGTAAATGGACCAGAAAGTAGTACAATAAATATACTAACAGCCCTGGCCGGTTTGGCTCAGCGGTTAGAGCGTCGGCCTGCGGTCCAGAAAGACCCGGGTTCAGTTCCCGCTGAGGGCACGTACCTCGGTTGCAGTTTGTCCCTGGCCCGGTTGGGGTTGTGTGGATGGCAACCACTTGATGTGTCCCTTTCACGTTGATGTTTCTCTCTCTCTCTCTCTCTCCCTCCCACTCTATCCGAATAAAATATGGAAAAATGTCCTCAGGTGAGGATTTAATTAATTAATTAATTAATATACTAACAGATGCCCCTGAGCTGCTCAAAGCCAGAAGCCCCATTTACCACTGGCCAGAGCCAAACATGGTGCTATAGTAACAAAGCAGGCGTGGGCAGCTCTACACAAAAAATGCCCAAGGCCGGAGCATCTCATCCCATCCTTCATGTTTTCTCTACTTCACATTATGGATGATTTTTTCTTCTAATTCACTAGTTCTCTATTCACCTGGTCTGTTATTTAACCTGTTTATTTTGTTTCTTATGTATTTATTTCAATTCTAGAATTTCTACTTGCTTCATTACTTTTTCAAATTCATCTGCTCTTTCCTTTTTGTAACACCCTGCTCCTACCCAATAGATTCATTTCCTTCATCTCAGACCATCTTCTGCCTCCAAAAGACCCGTCATCTGAGGTTTTCTATCACCTTTATTGTGCCTGTGACTTGTTCAGTGGGTGTGAATAGACCCGTTTTTTGTTTTGTTTTTGTTAATCCTCACCCTAGGATATATTTCCACTTATTTTTTATTATTTATTTATTTTTAAAAAAATATTTTTATTGATCTTTTAGATAGAGAGGAAGGGAGAGGTGGAGAGAGATAGAAACATCAATGAGAGAGAAACATCGATTGGCTGCCTCCTGCATGCCCCACACTGGGGATTGAGCCTGCAACCTGGTCATGCGCCCTGACCAGGAATCGATCTGGGACCTCTCAGTCCATGGGACAACGCTCAATCCACTGAACCACACAGGCCAGGCCCCACTGACTTTTTTTAGCTAGTGGGCGGGAGGGGGGAGGGAGGGCAGGAGAGAGAAACATGTATGTGAGAAAGACACATTGATGGGTTGCCTCTCGCACAACTCTGCCTGGGGCTAGGAGTGAACCTGCAAGTCAGGTGTGTGCCCTTGACCAGGAATCGAACCTGAGATCCCTCAGTCCAAGGGCTGATGCTCTGACCACTGAGATAAAGAGGCCAGGGCCAGGCCCACTTTTTGGCTCATCTTGGGAACAGTTGTTCCGGAGGAACACCAGCTCTGGGGTCTGGCAGTGTCCCTGTGGGGTCGCTTAGCTTCTGCCTTTGCTCAGCACTTTGAGATTCACAGGTCCCCAATCATGTTTTTAAATTATTAAGAAATAGTTCAGCCCGGCTGTGTGGTTCAGTGGATCCCAGTTTGGCTCAGCGGTTAGAGAGGGCCTGCAGACCAAAGAGGTCTCAGTTTGACTCCCCATCAGGCACATGCCTGGGTTTCGGGCTTGATCCCCAGTAGGGGGCATGCAGCTCATCAATGTTTCTCACATTGATGTTTCTCTCTCTCTCTGCCTTTCTCTCTCTAAAAATTCAATAAAAACATATTTAAAGAGCCCTGGCCAGTCCGGCCAGTGTGGCTCAGTGGTTGGAGCATCGGCCTGCAGACCAGAGAGTCCCGGGTTCGGTTCCCATTAGGAGCACGTACCAAAAATAAATAAATAAATAAATAATAAAAATAAAAAAGAGCCCTGGCCAATTTGGCTCAGCGGTTTGAGTGTCGGTCCGCGGACCAAATAGTAGTGGGTTTGATTCCGACCAAGGGCACATACCTCTGTTGCGGTTCATCCCTGGCCCTGGTCAGGGTCATGCAGGAGGCAACCAATCGATGTGTCCCTCTCACATCGATGTTTCTCTCTCTTTCTCTCTCTTTCTACCCCTCCCACTCTGTCTGAAGATATTTGAAAAAATTTTCTCGGGTGAGGATTTAGGGGAAAAAAAAAATATATATATATATATATATATATATATATATATACACACATATATATATTTATTTAAAGCAAAAAAAGTTCAGACATAAAAATATGAAAATAAATACACCATAGCCCCCATGGGGTTCCACGTATAGCTCCTTGACTGCATCCCTCTCCCTCCCTTCCCCCCTGTCTTGTCACAGCCCAGGTAACTACTATATTGAATTTAGCAGTTAAAAATCCTACGCACTTCTTTCTGCTTTTACTATACTTAACTCTAATATACTGTTCAGTTGTAAAAGATTTTATAATTTTTTTATCCTCACTCAAGGACTTTTTTTTTGATATTTTGTTCAGATAGCGTGGGAGGGAGGGAGGGAGAGAGAGAGATGTGAAAGGGACACATTGAGTGGTTGTCACCCACAGGACGCAATCAGGACCGGGAACAAACTGCAACCAAGGTACGTGCCCTTAGCGGGAACCGAACCCGGGTCTCTCCGGACCGCAGGCCAACGCTCTAACCGCTGAGCCAAACCGGCCAGGGCTGTAAATGTTTTTAAACATTACATGCTACATATGTGTCCTTCTGGTTGCTTTTCCTCACATTGCATGAGATTAATCCATGCTGGCATGGATTAATACCACTGCTTCGTGGAACACATCACTGCTCTGTGGTATACTTTATGAATATACGACTTATCCATTTTCCTGTTGCAGAATGTTTGAGGTTTGGATAGCTTCCTATTTTTCCATTATAAACAATACTGCTGCCAAAGTGGATCAATGATGAAAATAGCCTGATATGAGCATCAGAAGACCTTCCAGCCCACCCGATGCATGATCTCTACAGTTCTGTGAAGCAAAAGTATAAAGTAATTTAAAACAATTGTGTGTGTGTGCGTGTCTGTTTATAAAGGTGACAATGGATAACAGGTCTAAAGATGGGTGAATGAGATTTGGGGGTGTGGAAAACGTGTGTGAAAGGCTGATCAGTTCTGAGCAACGATGAAATGGTTTAATTACTGACCTTTGTAATTATGAAGGTTTCTACACTTGATCTGAGCTCAGGAAAAAAAAAAAAATACTGCTACCCTGGCCAGTTTGCTTCAGGGGTTAGAGCGTCAGCCTGTGGTTCAGAGACACCCGGGTTCAGTTCCCACTAAGGGCACGTACCTCAGTTGCAGTTTGTCCCCAGCACCAGTTGGGTCGTGCAGGTAGCAACCACTTGATGTGTCCCTTTCACGTCGATGTTTCTCTCTCTCCCTTCCTCTCTCTCCCTCCCACTCTATCTGAACAAAAAATGAAAAAATGTCCTTGGATAAAAAAAAAAAATTACTGCTGAGGACTTTTGTGTACATTAACCCTGTATATATGTATGTGAGTTTGTTTAGGGTGTATTACCAGAAGCAGAAGCACTGGATTTTTTAAAATTTTGCCAAACTGTTTTCCAAAGGGATTGTATAAAGTTGCATTCCCAAAAGCAATGTCCAAAACAATCTGTAAGTTTATTTCTCGCTTCTAGGATTTCCTTACAACCTAAATTACATCCACAAGCTCTGTAGGCCCAAGTTTGGATCTATCGGCCCCACAGACCAAGGGACCCCAGCTGGCAGGAAAACAACTCCCTGAAGGATGACAGAGCAGCCACCAGCTCCTGGCTTTAACCTGGTGGCCGGAGCAGAGCAGAGATGTCAGAGGTAAGAGCTAGACCGGGAGGCCCTTGTTGGATGGTCCTTGTAAAGACTGGCTTTCACTAGAATTTTATGCAGGGAGAGGACAAGGCCCAAGTCACGATTTGGAAGAAACCCTCTGGCTGTTGCACACAGACCATAATGGGCCCAGGGTGGAAGCCACACCCACCAGGAGGCTGTTGCTGTCATGTAGGTGAGCTGTCTGGGAGAGCACATGGTGTCTCCCACCCCAGTGGAGTAGCAGGAGGTATGAGATGCGGTCTGACTTTGGTGTTTTGAAGGTAGTGCCAGCATAATTTGCTAACAAATTGGATCCAGTATATGAGAACAGTTAAGCAGATTCCAAGACTTCTGGCCTAAGCAACTAGAAGGGTGGAAGCATCATCTGGAGGGGCTGGCACTGCCAGTTGTTCAGTACTCCCGGGAGGACGGGGCAGATCCTGGGAGGCTCCCTGTCTGGGTGGCCGAGCTGGCCAGCCAGTCTCTGCTCACAGTAACTAAAGCAAGCCGTGGCGAGATCTGCCCAGTGGGTTGGAGGGAAGGCTGGTTAGCATGTTTCTTTCGTTTGTTCATCCTTGTCTGAGGATATTTTTTCCAGTGATTTTTAGAGAGTAGAAGGGAGGGAGAGAAGGGGAGAGAGGGAGGGAGAAACATTAATGAGAGACACTTCGAATGGTTGCCTCCGGCAGGTATGGCTCAGTGGTTGAGCATTGACCCATGCACCAAGAGGTCGCTGGTTCGATTTCTGGTCAGGGCACATGCCCAGGTTGTGGGCCCAATCCCCAGTGGGGGGCATGCAGGAGGCAGCCAATCGATGTTCTCTTTCAAATAAATAAATAAACAAGTAGTAAATATAAAGTAAAAAAAAAAAAAAAAAAGGTTGCCTCTAGCATTCACCCTGACAGAGGAGGGGGAACCAAACCTGCAACTCTGGTGTGCAGGCTGACGCTCTAACCATTGAGCACACCAGCCAGGACAAGGCTGGCTACCTGTGAAGATGCTCCATTCCTAGAAGCTGGTAGAGCAAGGAAGAGTGGTTAGGGTGGAGGCTGTGTCTAGTCACCAGCTCTGAGGAGATGCTGTAAGGCTCAAGTACGCACAAGACAGAAGTAAAGTTCACGTGACCATCTGACCATGGCTGTAGCTCACTCTTATACCCCAAACTTGGGGTTGGCCGAGGACCCAGAGTCCCAACCCCAGGAGAGGACCATCACATAAAGGCAACAGAACCAAGAGACCCCAGGGATGAGAAATGAAGTTGACAGTGACGCCAAAGTTAAGGAAGGGTGAGTGAGGTACTGACCAAGCTGTGTAAGTTAATGACTAAGCTATTTGGAATATGATTATAGCTAACACCTAAATAGGTTTTGCTATGTGCTAGTTACTGATTTATCCATTTACAAATGAGAAAATTGTGAGCAGCTAAGTTAACTTAGCCAAAATTATGCTGCAAAGTGTTCAGTCTGGCTCCAGAATCTTAACCAGTCCCCTATACTTCCTATGTGATAGACTCCATAAATAAATACACTTATAAAAAAAAAAAAAAAGCAAGTTGCAGTAGAACTAAATGAAGCATAAAGAACAGTCAGGGACTGCTTGGTTGCTTGGGCCTTCTTCCCATGCACCAAAGGGTTGCAGGTCCTACTCTGGGTCAGGGCACATGCCCAGGTTGGAGGCTCAATCCCCAGTAGGGGTTGTGCAAAAGTAGCCTCAACTGGTAAAAGACTAGTTTGGTTCTTGCCCTAAGAACATTAGAGAGCCAAGTGAAGGATTTTAATTTAAAAATATTACCTATTGCTCTAGCCAGTTTGGCTCAGTGGTTAGAGCGTCAGCCTGTGGTCCAAAGAGACCCAGGTTCAGTTCCCGCTAAGGGCACGGACCTTGGCTGCAGTTTGTCCCCAGCCCTGGTTGGGGGCCCTGGTTGGATCGTGTGGGAGGTAGCCACTCATGTCCCTTTCATGTCGATGTTTCTCTCTCTTTCCCTCTCACTCTATCTGAACAAAATATCGAAAAATGTCCTCAGGCAAGGATATATATATATTTTTTTATCCTTGCCTGAGGACATTTTTCGATATTTTGTTCAGATAGAGTGAGAGGGAAAGAGAGAGAAACATATATATTTTTTTATCCTTGCCTGAGGACATTTTTCGATATTTTGTTCAGATAGAGTGAAAGAGAAACATCGACATGTGTGTGTGTGTATATATATATATATTACCTATTTTGCCTGGCCGGTGTGGCTCAGTGGAGTGAGTGTCATCCCATGAACTGAGAGGTCCTGTTTGATTCCTTGTCAGGGCACATGCCTGGGTTACAAGTTTGATCCCCAGTAGAGGGCGTGCAGGAGGTGGCCTCCTATTGATGTATCTCTCTCACAGATGTTTCTCTCTGTCCCTTCCTCTCTAAAGAGTCAATAAAAACGTATTTTAAAAAATATATTACCAAGGAGAGGGAGGGAGAGCGGGAAGAGATAAATCAAAGAACTTATATGCATAGACATATAACCAATGGACACAGACAATAGTGGGGGGAAGGCAGGAGGGGGGTGGGCATGGGGAGGAAGGGATCAATAGGAAAAAAAAGGGGGACATCTGTAATACATTCAACAATAAAGATAAGTTTTAGCCTTGGCCAGTTTGGCTCAGCGGTTGGAGCGTCAGCCTGCGGAACAGAGAGTCTTGGGTTCGGTTCCCGCTAAGGGCACGTACCAAACACACAAAACAAACAAATCAAAAGATAAGTTTTAGCCCAGCCGCTGTGGCTCAGTGGTTAAACGTCGACCCATGCACCAAGAGGCGCTGGTTCATTTCCTGGTCAGGGCACATGCCCAGGTTGTGGGCCCGATCCCCAGTGGGGGACATGCAGGAGGCGGCCAATTGATGGTCTCTTTCATCAATGTCTTTAGCTCTCTCCTTCTCCCTTCCTCTCTCTCTAAAATCAATAAAGAAAAATTATTTTTAAAAACTGTTTTAAATACAATATATATTATCTATTTTAATCCATGTTTTAGAAACATGTGCTTTTTTTATTTTTATTTTTTATTTATTTATTTTTATCCTCACCTGAGGATATTTTTCCATTTTTTGTACAGATAGAGTGGGAGGGAGGGAGGGAGAGAGAGAGTCATCGATGTGAAAGGGACACATCGAGTGGCTGCCTCCCGCACGACCCAACCAGGGCCGGGGACAAACTGCAACCGAAGTACGTGCCCTTAGTGGGAAACGAACCCGGGTCTTTCCGGACCGCAGGCCGACGCTCTAACCGCTGAGCCAAACTGGCCAGGGCTAGAAACATGTGCTTTTTTAAAAAAAATGTTTTATTTATTTTTTAGAGAGGAAGGGATAGAAACCCCAATGTGAGAGACATATCTGGTTGGCCACCTCCCACTTGCCTCCCACTGGAGACTTGGCCCACAACCTGGGCACGTGCCCTGACCAGGAATTGAACCAGCTGCCTCTTGTTGCATGGGTCGATGCTCAACCACAGAGCCACAGCATCAGGGCAACATGTGCCTTTTAAACAGGGACAATCCTCAAGTTTTGGGCAAAAGGCTGAAGCTCAGAGAATCCTTGATCAGAGAATAGCAATGGGAGCAGGTGACCCTGTCCTCTAGGAGTAAAGGGCAATTTCAAGGAGAAAAACTAGCAAAGGGTGATTAAGAAAAATAAAGGATGGAAAAAAATCTTTGCTGATCAGTTTAAGTGGTGGGGACTAATCTAAAATGTTCAATAGGAGCCCTGGCTGGGTGCTCAGTGGTTAGAGCGTCAGTCTGTGTTCCAGAGAGACAAGGGCTCAGTTCCCTCTAAGGGCACGTACCTTGGTTGCAATTTGTCCCCAGCCCTGGTTGGGTCATGTGGGTGGCAGCCACTCGATGTGTCCCTTTCACATCGATGACTCTCTCTCTCCCTCCCTCCCTCCCACTCTATCTTAACAAAAAAGGGAAAATGTCCTCAGGTGAGGATAAAAAAATAAAAAATAAATAAAATGTTCAGTAGGAAAAGAAATGCAAAAACACAATTTTTATTTTATTTTTCTTTATTGATTTTAGATAGGAAGGGAGACAGTAACATGAGAAAGAACATCGCCTGGCCGCTTCCTGCATGCCCCCCACTGGGGGCTGGGCCCACAACCTGGGCATGTGCATGCCCTAAGAATTGAGCTGATGACCTCTTGATGCATGGGTTGACACTCAACCACTGAACTACAACAACCAGGCAAAAACACAAATTTTAATAGAAAAGTATCCTCGGATGAGGAATAAAAAAAAAAAAAAAAGATGAGTCAATAGGTCTAAAAACTGATGATAAAAGAATTACCACCTAGAATAATGACCACCCTCACTACCACCCATTTCCATAATTTTTTTCATCCTGTAAAACTCTGTAACTTAACTCCCCATCCCCTGTCAGTCACCAGTAAAACTTTTTTTAAATGTTTTTATTGGCCTGGCCAGTTTTTCTCAATGGTTAGAGCGTGAGCCTGCAGACCAATGAGTTGCAGGTTTGATTACAGTCAAGGACAGGTACCTCAGTTGTGGTTTGCCCTGGTTGGGTCGTGCGGGAGGCAACCAGTCAATGTGTCTCTCGCCCATCGATGTTTTTCTCTCGCTCTCTCCCACGCTATCTGAAGATAAATAGAAAAATGTCCTCCGGTGAGGATAAAAAAGAAAGTTTTTATTTACTTTCTAAAAAGATAGAATCATCAATGTGAGAGAAATAACATTGATCAGCTGTCGCCTGCACGCCCCTACTGGGGATCGAGCCTGCAATGGGGCATGTGCCCTGACCAGGAATCGAACTGAGACCTCTGTCCACAGGATGTCACTCCATAGAGCCACACCGGCTGGGCAAGTATAATTCTTCTAAAATACATCTTAGACAGCCCAGCCAGTGTGGCTCAGCAGTTAGAGCATCGACCCGGGTTTGGTTCCCACTAAGGACATATACCTTGGTTGAAGTTTGTCCCTGGCCCCAGTTGGGGTTGTGTGGGTGGCAGCCAGTCGATGTGTCTCTCACGCATGGATGTTTCTCTCTTCCTCCCTCTCTCCCTCCAGCTCTATCTAAAGATAAATGCAAAAGTGTCCTCCAGTGAGGATTAAAAAATAAAATGAAATACATCTAGACAGCCCAGCCGGTGTGGCTCAGTGGCTGGGTGTCGACCAGTGCACCAAGAGATCACAGATTCAATTCCCTGTCAGGACACAGGCCGATTGTGGGCCCAACCCCCCAGTGGGGGGCATGCAGGAGGCAGACCATCTATGTTTTAATCCATGTTTCCGTCTCTCTCCTGCTCTCCCTTCCTCTCTCTCTAAAAATCAATTTAAAAAAATTTTAAATACATCTAGGCCAGTGGTTCTCAACCTGTGGGTCGCAACCCCTTTGGGGGTCGAACGACCCTTTTACAGAGGTTGCCTAAGACATACCAGTAGCAAAATTAGTTATGAAGCAGCAACAAAAATTTTATGGTTGGGGGTCACCACAACATGAGGAACTGTATTAAAAGGTCACGGCATTAGGAAGGTTGAGAACCACTGATCTAGACAATGTTTTCATGAACTCAGCAAAAGGCAAATTAAGTGTATCATTTATCATAAACACTCTCAGTGCCTAATAGCATCTGGTACATTAGAATTCTATGGTAATCAATCTAGAAATTCTTACTGTCCATTTTAATATATGGCACAATCTAATTTTAGTGGTGTTTTTTTTTAATGCTAATACCTTTTTTTAATTTATTTTTAAAATCACCAGAGGAGCCCTGGCAGGTTTGGCTCAGCAGTTAAGAGTGTTGGCCTGCAGTCCCGAGACCCGGGCTCGGTTTCCTCTAAGGGCGTGTACCTTGGTTGCAGTTTGTCCCCAGCCCTGGTTGGATTGTGCAGGTGGCAGCCACTCGATGTGTCCCTTTCACATCCATGTTTCTATCTCTCTCCCCTTTCCACTCTATCTGAACAACAAAAATAAATAAAATCACCAGGGAATGCCCTGGCCGGTTTGGCTCAACGGTTAGAGCATTGGCCCACGGACCATAGACTTGGGTTTGGTTCCCGCTAAGGGCATGTACCTCGGTTGCAGTTTGTTCATAGCTCTGGTTGGGGTCATGTGGGTATCTCTGTTGCCTCAGTGTTCTTCTCTCTCCCTCCTTATCTGAAGATAAATGCAAAAGTGTCCCAGGGTAAGGATTAAAAAAAAAAAGCAAAAACTTGAAAAATACACTATACAAAAAAAAATCTATCACCAGAGGAGCAGGGCTAGTGTGGCTTAGTGGTTGAGTGTCGACCCCATGCACTGAGAAGTTGCGGGTTCAATTCCCAGTCAGGGCACATGCCCAGATTTTGGGCAAATCCCCAGGGGGGAGTATGCAGGAGGCGGCCAATGGATATTCTCTCTCATCAATGTTTCCATCTCTCTCTCCTCCCTTCCTTGTCTCTAATATATCAATAAAAAAAATAAAATCATCAGAGGATATTTTCCCACTTGTCTTCAGATAGAGTGAGAGGGAGGGAGGGAACATGGTCGTGAGACACACATCGACTGGTTGCCTCCCGCAGGAGGGCAACCAGGACAGGGGACCCAACCACAAACCAGGTATGTCCCCTGACTGGGGATCAAACCGGAGACCCTTTGGTCCACGGGCCGATGCTCCAATCGCCTAGCCAAACCAGCCAGGGCTAATTTTAGTTTTTCATACATACATGCCTATCGTACATCTGATGTCCGTTGTAATCCTTTCTCTGGTAGTTACTACCTTTCACATTCCTAAATCTTTTTGAACCATCTTGTTTCCACTGAGACCAAAGAATCTACTTTATTTGCTTTAATATATTTTATTGGAATCCTTTTGATAAAGCCAAGTACTTATTTAAGACAAAGTAAAGAAGTGAAAGCTAATTGATATTTTAGTGCTCCCACATTTCTAGGCAGTTTTCTGGAGAGGTTGACAGCTGCTCACACTGGCTAATGCAGGAAAGATTAAGTTCCTAGGGTCTTCCCAACACCAGAGAGCATCCTTTGAATCAGCAAAATCCTGAAATTTTATAAAAGGAACATGTATTAGAACCACACAAGCAACTGCCATTAAAACATAAGGCTGGGGAGGTAGGGGAGTTGTCACACAGCATAAAAGGAAGGAGGCACACAGTAGATCAGGTGGTTTTTAAGATCCAGAGAAATGCTCAGAGGCTCTAGTCCAACCAGGTCCTCACTACACTCTGGAGCTGGAAGAAAAATCAGCACTCACCATGGTTGCCAGAGAAGGGCTGTGGCTCCTCATGTCATGGCCTGGGCCTGAAGTGGAAGGAACCATTCATCACCTAGGCACCCCAGCCTTCTCAACAGCACTTCTCCAACAGCAGTGACCTTAGGCTTTCAGTCCGCCAGGTTACTGGTGAATCTGTGAAGGGGCACTGCCCCTGGCTGGGCTTCCAAAACTCATGCTGGAAAAATGAAAACAGGACAACCAATGAGGACAAGCAGAGTTAGGCCCACCCACTTGACTCTTCCCAGAGACCCAAATATCCAGAGTTCCCCAAATGAGTCAGAACTTAATTTTTCACATCAGGACCAGTGTCAGAGACTCTAGTCTGAGAAATCATCATTCTCAATTTAGGGAAACCTGGATCAGGGGAAACCATTCTAGGAAGGGATCTAGTAAATTCAAAGACAAAGGGATGAGAGAGAAAAGAAATAATAAAGTCAGAACTGTATAGAACAGCTCCACCGGGGAGGCCCAGCATGTAAGCAGACTTGACAGTAGGAAAAGTAGCGGAGAAAAAAGTTTAATGAGGTTTAGACAAAAATTCAGTGTTACAGAAGTTTTCAAAAAGTAATCATCACTAAAGAAATGTAAACCAAACAGTGATCCTTGGAAAATCACCAAGTAAAATATTTACATTGTTGCATGTGTTCACTAGAAAGCAGCAGACCGTAGTGACCCAAGAAAGAACGCTCTCATACCTAAACACCTGTACTCAAAGATGACACACGGGTGGAGATTGTAAACCCCTAACGGAGAAATGAAACACAGGGTACGTGGTTAATAAGAGTTCTTGGCCATCAACCTCTTCCCAGGTCCTAGGAATCCCAGCCCGGGGTGGGAGGTGGTCAGCGCGCTGCGGTGATGGCGTCAGAGAGACACTCAGAGTCACCTGGAGTCATCATTACCCCCGTCCTTCCCAGGGAGACCACAGCCACTCCATCTCGCACAATTCACTCACCCTCGCGGCGCTGCAGACGCACCTGCGAGAATCAGGGACCTGCAAAGAACAAATGGGTCAGCAAAGGCCGGACGACTCTAGCCGAGCCCCCCCGCCCCGGGCTGGGTCAGTTCCAAGCACTGGCGTCACGCAGACATCAGAAACTCTAGTCTGTAATAGTAACTCATCCTGCTCAGCCCGAGACTGCGGTCCCCGCACCCAGCAGGGCCCCGAAGTACCTGCCGCAACGCGGGCAGCTGCGCACGGATGGCGGGGGCGCCCGGAACCGCCACCACCCCCTTCTTGCGGCAGGATGGCTCTGCATGACCCCAACACGTGCCACCAAAGGGCTCCTGGCACAAAGAGAACGGCGGCGCTGGGGCCGCGCTATTTATAGCAGCGTGGGGTCGGGGCCTGACGGCCATAGCTGTCCTCTGAGATGCCTGGTTCGACCCGCGACATTTCCCCATGGTTTGTCCAAACAAAAACAAAACAAAGTGATAAACAGAGGCCATCAGTGAAGGTTTCACACCCTCCTGGGCAAATATTCGGAGATAGTTTGTGAATCTTGGAGAAAAAAAAACAGGTGACCGGACAGGCCAGGCGAGGGAAAGTCCCCGGCCGGGGCCTAAGGGCGCGCAGCCCAGCGCTGTCCTTTCGTGGCCTGGGGCCGCCCAGGGCGCTCTGCAAGGGTTAACCAAGGGCGGGGCTTCCTCGTGGTCACGCGGCCCCAACGTGGGCTTGGTCACTTCCAAGGGCTGTCACCCCGTTGCCACCCCGAGCCAGCAAACTCTGAATTCTGAAGTTGCAACCCCATTGGACCCCGCAGACATGTCAGGCACATTAGCTTCTTTACTGACAGAAAACAGGTTTTTCTTTTTTAATGAAGCACCTGATAATGAACACGGAGACGTCTGGTGTCTGCAACTTCAAACCGCCTTTCTACCCAACTGCAAGGGGCAAGAAGAAATATTAGAATGAACAGAAAATATTAGAAGAGTAAGAATACTAATCATAGTGGGGCCCTAGCCATAGTTAGAAAAACGTTAATCATCCTTTACAATGTTGATGGTGATTGCTTTGTTCTGATTAAAGAAAAGGCCCTGTCCGGTTTGGCTCAGCAGTTAGAGCTATGGCCCCCGGACCAGAGAGTCCTGGGTTCGGTTCCCGCCAAGGGCACGTACCTAGGTTGCAGTTTGTCCCTGGCCCTGGTTGGGGTCCTATGGGTGGCAACCACTCGATGTGTGTCTCTCACATTGATGTTTCTCTCTCTCTTCCCACCTCTCTCCCTCCCGCTCTATCTGAAGATAAAAATGCAAAAATGTCCTCAGGTAAAGATTAAAAAAAGAAAAGAAAAAAGCCCACTCTGACCTGGCTGGGAGGTGTGCAAATGGGGAGCTGACCTCCGACTGGTGTCCGTTCTCCAAATCTGAGGACAAGGGACTACCTGACTTTCTGGAAAGATGAACGACCTGATCGGAACACCGGGCCTGTGGCTGCAGATCACTGGCGACCAGCAGCCCTGGTCCACATTCCTCCCGCCTTGCCTGTAATCATTTTATCCTTTTTTTTTTTTCTTTTGCCTAACTGCCTTTTCTTGAGTAGTCATGGTTTCTCTGCCCTTTAAAAGCAGCTGGCAAGTGAGGGGGACAAAAAAGATTTTATGGGATAACTCATTGCTCCCCCATACTGCCGGCAATATTGGAATAAATTATTCAACCTTGTCTCTGCTTAATTGCATCAAATAGTGACAGGTGGCCCAGACCCATTTGTTGTCCTGTTTCACAACTAGTAAAATACATGAGGGCTGGGCCCTTTCCCCGCTGTTTTAGCGTCTTTCAAATTCTTTACAACCCTTTCAGGTGAAACTCTTTTTTCCCCACACATATTTTACAGGCTAAAGAAGAGATAATAAGAAACACATCAGCTGGACTGTCTCCTGAAGAGCCAACAAACTGAAACTCCTCATGGCCACCAACCCCCAGCACCTGTGTGACTTAAAATACCACCCCTTCCAATAAAAGGGCAACTCCCCTATCTTTTGTTGCCCAGTACTACCTGGTACCCGGCCTTTTCCCTGTCTATGGGAAAAGACAAATAAAATTTCCTCCCTTTTCTCTCTTCACTCAACTGAATTCTTTCACAAGCCCGCATCACCATCCTTAACAAAACAAAATCATGTCTTTTTTTAAAACTGTATTGGTATAACTGACTACAATAAACTGCACATATTTAAAATACATAATTCGAGCCCAGCCAGTGTGGTTCAGTGGTTGAGCATCTACCTATGTACCAGGAGTTTTCCAGTTTGATTCAGGATCAGGGCACATGCCTGGGTTGTGGGCTCAACAGTAGGGGGCGTTCAGGAGGCAGCTGATTAATGTTGATTTTTTTCCTCCCTCTCCCACTCTTTCTAAAATCAATAAAAACATATTTAAAAGTAAATAAAATACATAATTTGATGTCTTTATAAACCATTCTAACCTTTTGTAAATGTACACTTCAGTAGTGTTAACTATGTTCACATTGTTCTATAACCAATCTCCAGAACTTTTTCACTTGCAAACTGAAATTCTACCCATTAACTCCTCCCCAGCCCTCCTTTTTCATGTCCTATTATGAGCCTGGAAGTTGGCCAAAAACAGTACAGGTGTTCAGCACACTCTGAACAGCACAGTATGTATGGAAGCAATGGAAGCAAACCAACTGGGGTCAATGGCAACAGCCAGGCCCTATTCTCCCACTAGTCTTCGCTCTCAGAAATCTTCCCTGGTCATTTGCTCTTGACCCTTAATCCATCAACTTGTACATTCTCCCAAATCCCACCTACCTGGACCTTCTATAGCCCCTCATTTATAAATGCAAGTGTTTTTGGTGATGTATGTTGGCGTCTTTTTTTTTTTTTTTAATGAAAGAAGGTTATTTTTTTATTTTTTTTTATCCTCACCCGAGGACATTTTTCCATTTTTTGTACAGATAGAGTGGGAGGGAGAGAGAGGAAGGGAGAGAAACATCGACGTGAAGGGACACATCGAGTGGCTGCCACCCGCACGACCAACCAGGGCCGGGGACAAACTGCAACCGAAGTACGTGCCCATAGCGGGAACCGAACCCGGGTCTCTCTGGACCGCAGGCCGACGCTCTAATCGCTGAGCCAAACCGGCCAGGGCGCGTCTTTTTTTTTTTTTTTTTTTTTTTAATATGTTTTTATTGACTTTAGAGAGAGAATAAGGGAGAGATAGGAACATCGATGAGAGAGAAACATCAGTTGGCTGCCTCCTACACACCCCTGCTGGAAATTAAGCCCAAAACCTGGGCATGTGCCCTGACCGGAAATTGAACCAGCATCCACTTGGTGCATGGGACAATGCTCAATCCACTGAGCCCCATCAGTCAGGCTGTTGGAATCTTTTTAAGGTAAGATAGTTAGAAGCTAGGAAAATTCCTTGACAAATAGAATAAGAGAAACTGATTGTCTGAAATAATTAGACAAGGCCAAACTATTTGAGCTATTTATAGCCAGCTAATAAATCATAAGGTGTTTTTTTTTATTATGTTGGTGAGATTCATGTGAATTTTAATTCTTATTTACTAATGTTTTACAGTAAGTGTGGGGAGTAAAGACAGGGATAGAGTGAGGGAAAGGAAGAAGAGAAAAGTATCTTTCGAGTTCCTTAAACTATGGAAGTATGTGCTAGGATAAGAAAGTTCAGTAAAAGCATCACATCCTTTTCACCACAGAGCTCTAATGGAGAAGTGTGACAGAGACATGGCAAGTCTTTAACTCTGGTGAAGTGACTGCTGGCAGAGAATTAATCCTGCATCAACTTGGCATACGTGGAAAACTGGGCAATGCAGCTGCTGCACAGTTAGGCAGGCGAGAAGTTGATCCTCCAGAATTTACTTCCTAGCATGTGAGTAGGAGCATATGTGTCCCTTCTCTGGTCTGGGTGTCAATCATAAGGTTTTATCTTCCCTAACCAAAGACTCTTAGGAGCAAATGGTTTATAGATTCCAGACTGCCCTGGGACAGACCAGCCTCAGTCCCAGTCCCTCTTCAATAACATACTTTTTTTTTTTTTATCTTCATCTGAGGACATTTTTCCACTTTTTGTTCAGATAGAGTGGGAGGGAGAGAGAGAGAGAAACATCGATGTGAAAGGGACACATCAAGTGGCTGCCTCCCACACGACCCAACCAGGGCCGGGGACAAACTGCAACCGAGGTACGTGCCCTTAGCGGGAAGTGAACCCAGGTCTCTCTGGACCACAGGCCGACGCTCTAACCACTGAGCAAAACCGGCCAGGGCCAATAACATTTTTAAAACATAAAACTAACCAGAAAATAACCCTGGCTCCTCTCTACACACATTTTGATGAATCAACATATTGAAGAACACACATGAAAAACTAATAAATATTCCTCAGAGACTCTCCCCTGGACCTCCCCTAGGATTCCAGCCAGCCGAAGAAAGATAAAAAGACTCCAGAGGAAGGATCCACACCGCGCTTTCACTCTAAAGCACTCATGCCTTGTATCTTTGCTGCTTTTCCCCTAAACTCCAAAGGACCCCAGGAAACTTGCAACCAGGGGAGCAATGGGCAGTGGTAGCTCCTCCCAGGCTTACCCCCCTGAACCTGTCTCCAATGCCCCCTTTTCTCTTTCTTCCTATTACTTCTTCTATCTCAAGCCCTTCTTTTGTTTCCAAAAGGTCTGAGCCAGCGGGAGATCACATCCACAAGGCAAGGCCAATATAGAGCAAAACAGTTTTATTCCATGCACCTGGGTGCAGGCTGCTGACCCAGTTTCAGTTGTAGGAATTGACTGCCAAATATCGCAACCCAGACCAACCCAGACACTCACTTGTTCTTTGGGCCCTTATGTCTTTCTCCACTCTTTTTTATTTTTATTTATTTATTTGTTTGTTTGTTTGTTTGTTTTGGTACATGCCCCAACGCTCCAACAGCTAAGCCAAACCAGCCAGGGCTCTCCACTCTTCTGGTGTTACCAGCCTGTCCCACTCCCTTGTTAGGGCGGGGCATTCTAACTAAACTCCATACTCTCTTTTTTTCTTCTTTATTGATTTTTTTAGAGAGAGAGAGAGAATGGAAGGAAGAGGGAGAGAGAGACAGAAACATCGATGAGAAAGAACATTGATTGGCCACCTCCTGCATGCCCCCTAACTAGGGGTTTGGCCCACAACCTGGGCACATGTCCCTACTGGGAATCAACCGGTGACCTCTTTTTTTTTTTTTTTATCCTCACCCGAGGATATTTTTCCATTTTTTGTACAGATAGAGTGGGAGGGAGAGAGAGGAAGGGAGAGAGAGAGAGAAACATCGACATGAAGGGACACATCGAGTGGCTGCCACCCACACGACCAACCAGGGCCGGGGACAAAATGCAACCGAAGTACATGCCCTTAGCGGGAACCGAACCCGGGTCTCTCCGGACCGCAGGCCAACACTCTAACCGGTGACCTCTTGGTACATGGGTCAACACTCAACCACTGGGCAACGAGGGGGGGGGGCTAAACTTCATGCTACTTTAACCTTTACTTCTACCCTCCCCACTAACCCTTCTCATTCTTTACTTTGTCTTTTCCAAGAATTAGCCTCCTCTCCTAACATAAACCCCCTACCATTAACTCCAAAATTAGTTAACCCCATAGTGTGGGACACATCCCTCCCATCTGCAGCTAAGTACCATAGGCCAATCAATTTTTTTTTTTAGGTACGTGTCCCTAGCGGGAACCGAACCCGGGACTCTCTGGTCCACAGGCCGACACTCCAACTGCTGAGCCAAACCGGCTAGGGCTCATAGGCCAATCAAGATAGCTCTCAAAGATCCCTCATTTTTCCTATCCCAGAAACAATACCCTACCCCAGCAGAAGCCCAGAAATGACTGAAACCTGTCTTAACTCCTAAAGAAAAATTTACTCCCCCCTACCAGTTCTCCCTATAATACTCCCATTTTGCCTGTACGCAAGCCCGATGAATCTTCCCTTCTAGTACAGGAGCTCCACATCATAAATCAGGCCGTCCAGCCAATACACCCAGTTGTTCCTCACCCATACACCCTTCTCTCCCAAATTCCAGCTAACACACAGTTCTTTACGGTCCTAAACCTTAAAGATGCCTTTTTTACTGTTCCCTTACATCCAGGTTCCCAAAACTTTTTGCTTTCACCTGGACTGACCCAAGCACCGAGCAGTCTCAACAGCTAATCTGGACCATTCTCCCTCAAGGATTTCGGGACAGCCCCCCCTCTTTGGGCAGGCCATAGCCAGTGACTTGCGGCAATTAGACATAAAAGGGTTCGCTCTTCTTCAGTATGTAGATGATCTTCTCTGTAGTCCCACCAGACAGGATTCTGAAAATCATACCGCATGTTTATTGAATTTCCTTGCGCTGTGGATATGATCTCCCGCGGGCTCAGACCTTTTAGTTTCACTGTCCCGGGCCTTAATAAACATACTCTCAGAATCACCTAGACTCATGTTGTGAAATCTTTCCTACATAAAGTTAAGAACCCACATACTACTACTAGTGGGCCCTAGGCAGACCCGTGGAAGGCCCAGACCTGAGCCCAGACCCTGTCCAACAGTAACATTTTTTAAAAAATTGAATTGAGAGAAAGGGAGAGGGAGAGAAACATCGGTTTGTTGTTCCACCTAGTTATTCATTCATTGGTTGATTCTTGCCTATGCCCTGACTACGGATCTAACCAGCAACCCTGGCTTATCAGGAGGATGCTCTAACCAACTGAGCCACCCAGCCAGGGCCCATCTGGTAACATTTTGAGCAAAGCCACATATAACAGGGTGATTTGGAGATTTTGACCCATACAAAATTGGTCTCCTTTTTGAATCACATAATTTAGGCACAGTGAGCATACAGTAAATTTTGGAAGAATGCAATTGTGAGCACAGGAAATATCCTTTTACTTTCTTCTGCAATTATCTTTACATCTATCCTGCCTTCCTCCAAGGTTTCAGCCTTCCATCAAAAAATATTTTCCAGGAATCCTGTGGTATTCACCTATTTGATACATTTCTCGGCTCCCAGGGGCCACTTCCACTTGTGGCTGCTGTTACAAAGTAATTTTGCTTGAAGTTTCAAGATGTGTTATGTGTACAAGCACATCAAATGGCTGTCTCCTGTATGCCCCCAACTGGGGATTTGCCCACAACCCCAGCATGTGCCCTGACCAGGAATCGAACCGGTGACCTCTTGGTGCATGGGTCAATCCTCAACCACTGAGCCACATTGGCCAGGCTGGGTCAACACTTTTAAAGCCTTTTGCAGCGGTTCTCAACCTGTGGGTCGCGACCCCTTTGGGGGGTCAAACGACCCTTTCACAGGGGTCACCTAAGCCCATCGGAAAACACATATCTCCAATGGTCTTAGGAACTGAGACACAGCTCCTCTATCCATCTCCAGGCGGGTCCGCCCACATGCAGATACGCTCACATACAACATGAGAAGCTGTATTAAAGGGTCGCGGCATTAGGAAGGTTGAGAAGCACTGCTTTACAGCCTTCAGGCTCCCATGAGCCCCTAACCATCAGCTGTGGCTCCTGAAGTACAGATACCTTCCTGCCCCCCCCAAATACAATCACGAGTAGCCTCTGGTGCAGTTTTCTCAGCTTTGGTTGCACATTAGAAACACCTGTGCAGCTTGAACTCTGAACAATGCCTTAGCTACTTCCAGACATTCTAAACTGGTTTTGAGGAGGTCTGGCACATATATATATATATTTCTTTTAGCCTTCCCAAATTATTTTAATACCACTAGGTTGAAGAACCACTAGGTTGAATGGCATATATATATATATATATATATATATATATATATTCTTCTAGCCCTCCCAAATTATTGTAATACCACTAGGTTGAATGGCTTGAAGCTAAAGGATATATTCCCATACTGCACTTAGTATATTCTATTTTTTTATCCTCATCTGAGGACATTTTTGCACTTATCTTCAGACAGAGTGGGAAAGAGAGAAGGAGGGAGAGAGAGAAACATCGATGTGAAAGAGACACATTGAGTGGCTGCCACCCACATGACCCCAACTGGGGCCGGAGACAAACTGCAACTGAGGTACATGCCCTTAGCAGAAACCGAACCCGGGACTCTCTGGTCCACAGGCCGACACTCTAACCACTGAGCAGAACCAGCCAGGGCAGTATATTCTATTATCATAGACTATATTATAGTTTACCAATCCTGTGAATAAAACAGGCCTCTGAGAATTGATCCAATTACCAAAAGAACTCTTACTATACTCCTTTTCCTTTACATGCTTTTAAGAAGGGCTTCCTATATGTGGTCATTCCTAAAATGTTTGCTTTCCCGACAGGGTAATTTATGGAAAAATGAAAACATGGAATTTTAATTTTGTATGATTTTGGAGTAGGTATGTCCAGACTGTGTTTGGCAGGAAGGAAGCTGGGATTCTCTCAGGCAAGTGGAGGTCTTCAGGACACCTAACTGCTAGGCAGGAAGAAACCCCTACGGAGGGGCTTGTGTGGGAGAAAAGCCCATTTCCCCTGTCTCCTCAGCTCTAAGTTGTACAGCTTTATCTCCTCCTTTCTGCATTAAATTTGCTATTACTCTAAATTGCTATTCTTTTGAGATTGTCCATAAATAAGACAAAGAGAGTACCAATTGTTAAAACTGGGGTAAAAACACTACTTAGAACCAGACATTAACAACCTAATGCCAACAGTGTCCAGGCAATCTGGAAACAGCCCAGCCCTCAAACCATCACTTATGCTAATTTTGCCCTGGATATAGTTGAAATGACCATGTCCACATACTTGCCTATGAAAAAAACAACAACCACAACACTTTAGGCCGGTATGGCTGAGGTTAGAGCATCAGCCAGAGAACCAAAGGGTCTCAGGTTCTATTCCAGGTCAAGGGCACGTACCTGAGTTGCAGGTTCAATCCCCAGCCCTGGTCTGGATCCTGTGGGAGGCAACCAATAGAGGTGTCTCCTCCCTCCCTCCCTTTCACTCTATCTAAAAAAAAAAAAAAAAATCAATGGAAAAATATCCTCAGGTGAGGATTGACAACAACAAAAAACCCTATAGCTTACCTGACATGTAGAGAGTGGTGGAATGAGGATTACTTAAGATTATTGGGGTACAATGCCTATCCCCACTCCTCCTTATTGCCATGCCCCCAAACTCAGTTATCTTAATCCTACAGACTTGGATAACTGCAGCTAAGGTGAAGGTGTTGCTTGTCTATAGCACATTTCTGCTCAAAATGATCTCAGAACTTTGGAAGTGAGGCCATTTGGACAAAATAAAAGGAGGCAACCAAGACTGAGAGGATAAATAACTGCATGTGATCAACCAAGACTGAGAGCATAAATAACTGCATGTGATCACCAGGTCAGATTTACAGAGCCAGAGTGTAAATCTGCAGCTCATTTTTGTTTTGCTCACTCCTAAATGTATTTACTGTATAAGCTAAACAAAAGACTGGAAGACTCACAGGTCAGTATTGGACACTAGAGTTCTGCCCACATAAGTGCAAGTGAGGAACCACAAATTCCTCTAAACACAGCCTTTAAACCCAGACTAACCTCTGCTCCCCAAACACCTTTTGCTGATCCTGTCCCACTTTTCACTAAAACAAGCCCGACCATAATCAAAATGGTCACCTATTATTTTTGTTTTCTAACACGGATGTCATTTACCACCTACAATTAAGACCTCCCCCCATAGCCATAGTCATTGTTTCTAATTTATGGACCTTTTTTCAGGAGTACTGTCCCTTTCACTGTTTATGGAATGTTGACATTTCAAATGAGTCCATTTTCCTCCCAAATGAAAACAGGCACACATTATTAATATTTTTATTTACTTTTCATTCTTAGCATACAATTATAAAAAAACAAAAACATCTCATAACTTTGTGTGTTTAAAAGTTCCCCCCCAAATAGGCCAGCGGGTTGCAAGGTTGACTCATTTACGGGGGGTGGGACACTCCAGAGACCCACACTACTTTAAATGCAAAGAATTGTAGAGAACACATTGGTTATATCAAGAAAGAATAACAAACACAAGCACGTTAATCAGGTTAACCTAACTTTAAATTGAACTGGAACAGTAGAGAACTTCAAGTTAAAATATATAGAGAAAACAATAACAAGGTCCCTGAGTACCCTGTCTCACAGATACATGACAAAATAGGGTAGGGTCCCTAATCCACCTCCTCAATGGTGGGGCCAGAGCCAGAACCCCCCTTGGGAGCCTGAGCCCCAAAGCCACCAGCCCCAGGGCCACCCGCCCCCTGGTACAGTCCGCTGATGATGGGGTTACACACCTGCTCCAGCTCCTTCCTCTTGTGCTCAAATTCCTCCTTCTCCGCCAGAGTGTTGGAGTCCAGCCAGGAAATCACCTCCTGGCACTTGTCCAGCACCTTCTTCTTGTCGGCCTCGCTGATCTTGCCTTTGAGCCCCTCATCTTCCACAGCACTCTTCATGTTGAAGGCATAGGACTCCAGGGCGTTCTTAGCAGACACCCTCTCACGCTGGACCTCGTCCTCGGCTTTGTACTTCTCGGCCTCCTGCACCATGCGCTCGATCTCCTCCTTGCTCAGGCGGCCCTTGTCGTTGGTGATGGTGATCTTGTTGGCCTTGCCTGTGCTCTTGTCCGTGGCCGTGACGTTCAGGATGCCATTGGCGTCGATGTCAAAAGTCACCTCGATCTGGGGCACGCCCCTGGGGGCCGGTGGGATGCCGCTCAACTCGAAGCGCCCTAACAGGTTGTTATCCCTCGTCATGGCCCTCTCGCCCTCGTACACCTGGATCAGCACCCCTGGCTGGTTGTCGGAGTAGGTGGTGAAGATCTGTGTCTGCTTGGTGGGGATGGTGGAGTTGCGCTTGATCAGGGCAGTCATCACGCCCCCGGCTGTCTCCAGCCCCAGTGACAGGGGAGCCACGTCCAGCAGCAGCAGGTCCTGCACGTTCTCAGACTTGTCCCCCATCAGGATGGCTGCCTGCACCGCTGCCCCATAGGCCACCGCCTCGTCGGGGTTGATGCTCTTGTTGAGGTCGCGCCCGTTGAAGAAGTCCTGCAGCAGCTTCTGCACCTTGGGGATGCGGGTGGAGCCCCCCACCAGGACCAAGTCGTGGATCTGGGCCTTGTCCAGCTTGGCATCACGCAGAGCCTTCTCCACAGGCTCCAGGGTGCCCCGGAACAGGTCGGAGCACAGCTCCTCGAACCGCGCCCTGGTGATGGACGTGTAGAAGTCGATGCCCTCGAACAGGGAGTCGATCTCCAGGCTGGCCTGGGTGCTGGACGACAGGGTCCTCTTGGCCCTTTCGCAGGCGGTGCGCAGCCGCCTCACGGCTCGCTTGTTCTGGCTGATGTCCTTCTTGTGCTTCCGCTTGAACTCCTCCACGAAGTGGTTCACCAGCCTGTTGTCAAAGTCCTCCCCTCCCAGGTGGGTGTCCCCAGCCGTGGCCTTCACCTCGAAGATGCCATCGTCGATAGTCAGGATGGACACGTCGAAGGTGCCCCCACCCAGGTCAAAGATGAGCACGTTGCGCTCCCCTTTGCCCGTCCTGTCCAGACCGTAGGCGATGGCGGCAGCCGTGGGCTCGTTGATGATCCTCAGCACGTTCAGCCCCGCGATCACCCCCGCGTCCTTGGTGGCCTGGCGCTGCGAATCGTTGAAGTAGGCCGGCACGGTGATCACCGCGTTGGTCACTGCGTAGCCCAGGTACGCCTCGGCGATCTCCTTCATCTTGGTCAGCACCATGGAGGAGATCTCCTCGGGGTAGAACGCCTTGGTCTCCCCTTTGTAGCTCACCTGCACCTTGGGCTTGTCCCCGTCGTTGATCACCAGGAAAGGCCAGTGCTTCATGTCCGACTGCACCACCGAGTCTCCGAACTTGCGGCCGATCAGCCGCTTGGCGTCGAACACGGTGTTCTGTGGGTTCAGCGCCACCTGGTTTTTGGCCGCATCCCCGATGAGCCGCTCGGTGTCGGTGAAGGCCACGTAGCTGGGGGTGGTGCGGTTGCCCTGGTCGTTGGCAATGATCTCCACCTTGCCGTGCTGGAACACCCCCACGCACGAGTAGGTGGTGCCCAGGTCGATGCCGATGGCCGTGGTTTTAGCCATGCCGGTGTCCTGCTCTGTCGCCCTGCGCTGAGGTTCGGGCCTTTTCTGAAAAGGTGCGGGTTCGCGACGAGAAGCTCAGACTTTCCTGAAGCGGGAAACTGGGGCTCGTCCTGAGAGGCTGCGGGTCTGTGGAAGTTGCTCGCACGAACACCAGGCTGGAAAACCGCCAGAGTCGCCCGTCCCCGCCGCTGGCCGCTCGCTGCTCTTCGACCCGCGGCTCGGTGTATATCATTCTTCATGGAGCCCCGCCTTCTCCCTCCGCTCACCCAATCCCCGAGCTCGGCTGGGCGGTGGGTCGGGAATATTCCAGGGCGTTCGCGGTGGGTCCTGCCCCCAGGCTTTCTCAGGCCAATCAGTGGCCTGGGTCCCGCCCCTCCCAGAACTCTCCAGACTCTTCTGGAGGGGCTGGAGTCCTAAAGGGAGGGGGAGCGGCGCTAGGATGGATGGGTGTTGACTCCGCCCACCCAGTCTCTGTATCCGGTAGACGCTGGGCCCCCGCCCCCGTCGTTGAAATTGACCGGAAGGGGCAGCGCTTGGCTCCTACGTAGTGTAGGGCGGTGACAGGCTGTTGGGGCTCAAACTAGTTGTTTCATTCGTTAGAAAAATTCCCGAATTTCTTGAAGAGGGTCCAAAGACACTCTGATTGGACCTTGGCGGTGACGGAAAGGTCGCCTTTGGGCCTGCTCTCCAAGCGTCCCCACAGCCCCCGCTGCCCGAAGATTGCCTTGGCCGTCTGCGGTGTTTCCCAGCTTATTTTTAAAATGGGAAGCAGAAAAGAGATCGTGCTATATAGTTTTTTACCTCATGCATAACGTACATGGAATATCTGGGGGTGGGGAATCGTAATTTTCAAAGGGAAAGTAACCAGGTAAAGAGGCAGTTCTTAAACAGGGAAAAGGAGCATGCTCCGTGCGGGGGAGGAAAGGGGTGGGAGGGTGGAAGGGCGGGGCGGGGCTGGGCGTGGGCGCCCCGCTCCTCTCAGTCTCTCCCCTTTGCCTGGAACTACACTTCCGCCTGAGAAAGAAAATAAGTTGTCCCTAGAATTTGTCTTATGGGCTTCTCCCTTCCACTCGTTCTTCCCAGTCTGGTGTCCCAGCTAGTCCTGTTCCTCCTTTCTGCCTTCTCCATTCCTGCTTCAGCCTGGTAGTGTGGAGTAGAGCCAGCGTTAACCTCAGGGTCCCGAATTTGGCCGTCTGCCCTGTCCCTGCAGCCCCTAGGCTCTCCAACCATTTATAAATATGTGGAATGGCGCTGGCTGGTGGGCCGGTTTGGCTCAGCTTAGAGCGTCAGCCCACGGACCAAAGAATCTCCCCTCTGATTCTGATCAAGGGTACATACCTGGGTTGCGGTTCCATCCCCAGCCCTGGTAGCCCTAATAGAGGTCTTGCAGGAGGGGAGACAACCAATCGATGTGATCTCTCTCTCTCCCCCCGCCCCCTTCCTTCCCACTCTATCTGAAGATAAATGGAAAAATATCCCCGATTGAGGATTTAAAAAAAAGGCACCCTTGCCCATTTGGCTCAGCGGTTACAGCGTCATCTTGCGGACCAGAGGGTCCCAGGTTCGGTTTCCGCTGAGGGCACGTAGTTCGGTTGCAGTTTGTCCCTGGCCCTGGTTGTCGTGTGGGTGGCGACCGTTCCATGTGTCTCACATTGGTGTTTCTTTCTCTCCTCCTCCCTCTCTCCCTCCCATTCTATCTGAAGATGCAAAAATGTCCTCGGGTGAGAATAAAAATTAAAAAAAAAAAAAGGCAAAATGGAGAAACACATACTTGTACATTGGTGGGTACAGAAGAGTTAAATAACATTAACAGCACATAGAGATGTATCAGGAAACAAGATAACTGCAGGTCTCTGTGGTCTCATGCTCTGGTGGTTTTGTGCTCTGATGCTGGGAGTTTTGACTGCAAGGGGTAGGAAAAGAAAATTACTGACATTTCGAAGGTGTGTTTTCTTAGATGTTTGAACAGTGGACAGTTCACTTAAGGTAAAGACTGACCTTTGCTAAGGAGGCTATAGGCCTGAAACATGACTACCTGCTATGACCTGCCTAGTTAAGAATTTGTAATCAACCCATCCTGTGTGGTTACTTTTAGTCACTGAGCTTGTCAGGCCAGCCATGAGCACACCCCCCTGAGCTTGTCAGATTATTGCATAGCCTCCTTTTTCATTCACAGGTTTGGTTTTTTACTAGGTTTGGTGTTTGGAAGCAGCAAGGGCTGAGCTTCTCCGAGCTGTATGGGCTGTCAGGTACTTGGAAATGTGGGGCAACTGCAGAGGGAGTGCCAAGAACACTGGCTGCTTGAGGCAGGAAGTGTGGGGGAGGGAGGCCTTTCTCTGTAATTACAAGATCTCTTTTTTTTTATCTCTCCCTTTTCCTATAATTTCTCAATTTTGTTTTACCAAATTATAATAAGTTTATCTAGGAAAAAAGCAAAAGAGATAACTGTTATGAAACCTTGAGCCAAGCATTTTTAACAACCAAAGACGTCAACGATCTGGGAATGCTGTGGATTTCCAGCAGCATGGGGGGAATAATGGGGGGTGGGGGGAACGAGGGTTGGGGGGCACCTGGGAAAGGGAAGACCTGTCTTTTCATCTGAACTCTACTTCCTTGTTGAATATTTTTTAAAACAATAATGTATTTGTAAGTGAACTAAATTACACGTCTCTATATCTCTAAAATAGAATTAACATCTATTTCTTAGGACGGTAGGGATAGGACTGATAGATAAGAAGGCCTTAGTTGAGTACCTGTGACATAGTGCTCAAAAGTTGCTGCCTTCTCCCTTTTGTTGGGGTCCCCTAGTCTCACATCTGACTTCTCTCACAACTGCTCACAAACCTGGGCACTACCAGGACTATAGCATTACTTTTGGTTTACTGTAGGAATGAATTTAAGATTTGTAGGTAGAGGACATTCAGCCAACTTTTTTTTGTGTGTGTCTTTTATAGAGAAAGGGGGAGAGAGACAGAGTTAGAAACCTGGCAGCCAAACCTTTTCACTTTCAAAGATGAGCGCAGAGGATCAGAGGTTCAGTGGTTGGTCTGGTTACACAGACAATAATTACAGCACCAGTGACTGAACCCACACGTCCTTACACTCCCTATTTGGAATCCTCCCAATACTGGCACATTGGCCCAATGGCTTCATTCTCAAAAAATCGCCTTAAAAGGAGGGAGTGAAACGTTATTATCAGAGAGCTGCGCATTAGGGGCCCCATGGGGGTATGTGACCAGCCAGGTCTCCCCTCCTGCAGCGGTTTGACTCACCACCACCCCTCCCCCCCCAGGCTCCCACCCTTCCAGCTCTTCCAGCCCCGCCTCCCCTTCCCTCAGTAACAGCAGGGTCGGAGGGAAAGGACTGGGCCGCCTGGTGGCACAGGGTTCACAAAATCTCCTGGAAATTAACTGTAAAGCCGTGACTACGCGTGATGTTCCAGGGCAGGATTGGGGGTGGGGAGTCTCGGCCCGCACAGTTTGTTTGCGGAGGAATCAGTCTAGGAGTCAGTCCCCGCCCTCGAGCCCGGAAACCTCCAGAACATTCCGGGCAGAGCCCGACCGGCAAGGGGCCTTAGCTAACTAGACTGACACGGCGCGGGGGCGGGGGCGGGGGCGGGGGCGGGCCGGGCCTGGCGGCGGGGCGGGGCCTGGCGGCGGGGCGGGGCGGGGCCTGGCGGCGGGGCGGGGCGGGGTCTGGCGGCGGGCCTGGCCACCGAGATGCCTATCCTGCATGGTGTTTGCGATTGTCCTTTCAAAACGCGATTAAAAAAGAAAATAAAAAGAAAAGACCTTTAAAATTTCCCGCACTAGCTAATGTATCAGACGAAAACACTGGGGAGTTTTTTTAGTCATACAACTAAAGCAGAGGAACTGGGTGGCCAGACGGAGAGGGAAAGGTCCCTACGGCCCAGGGAGCGCGCCCGCCTCTAGTTCCTCGTGTCCTCTCGGCCCTTTCCAGGGGCAAAGAGGGCCAAGACCCTGCGCAGTGATTCTCGTCTCCTGCACGTCGCCGAGCTCCCCATCTGTGGGCCAGCCACACGCCTCTGCGGTGCCTGCTCCTCTGGTTCTGGACTGGGCCAGTGGAGGGAGGCCTCCTCTGCCTCCCGAACTCACTCCACCCTGCCCAGTCTTTTTTTTTTTTTTTATCCTCACCCAGGACATTTTTCCATTTTTTGTTCAGATAGAGTGGGAGGGAGAGAGAGGAAGAGAGAGAAGCATCCACGTGAAAGGGACACCTTGAGTGGCTGCCACCCACACGACCAACCAGGGCCGGGGACAAACCAACTGAGGTACATGCCCTTAGTGGGAACTGAACCTGGGTCTCTGTGGACCGCAGGCCAACGCTCTAACCGCTGAGCCAAACTGGCCAGGGCCGCTGCCCAGTCTTTTTAATGAGCGTTGCTAGGAGAGGGCAACAATGGTTGGGGTTGTTGTGTCCCACTGAACTGCACCGCGTACCTTATGGAGTGCCGGAAGGGGATTGAGGGTGATCAATTAGCGTGAAGGGAGATGGTTACCGGTTCTTAGTCTTGACAAGGATTGCCCCCTTAGAAATCGCCAATATTTCTCTTTACCTGAAATAACCCCATTTCTTTTTTTAACCAAAAGCCCCCTTCTCTTACACTTACAATTTTTGTTTTGGTATCTTTTCTGTATGTTTGATGACAGAAGCCTGTTAAACACCAGGGCTATTAGTATGTAGGTTACTAATAAAGGAATGTTTTGGGTTCAAAAAGCATACGAAATCAGCTACATTACCATAGCCTCCTGCCTTCTCAGGACTGGTATAGGGAGATAGGTGAGACTGGAATCAGGGATGCTACTCGATTTTAAAAATTGTTTCAGTTACTTTTTTGAGGCACAGTCCCTCCCACAAAGTTCCTTTTGCTACCCAAAGCATCAGTTCCTTGAGGGATGGCACTGCAGGATATCCTTGCTAATTATGCAATTCCCTCAGCCTCCTTGAGCTTACAGTGACTATTTTCTTTTGTTTTTTTGTTTATTGATTTTTTTTTTTCTTTTTCTTAAGAAAGGGAGGAAGAAAGAGAAGCATGGATGTGAGAAACATTGATCAGTTGCCTAAGTTGCCTCCCATACTTACCCTGACCAGGACAAACCTGTATCCTACCTATGTGCCCTGACCAGGAATGAACCCCAGATTTTCCAGTGCACCAGATGAGACCCAGGTTCGGTTCCCACTAAGGGCACGTACTTTGTCC